AACAACTAGGTTCAGTACCTGAGAGCAAGGAGGGGATTGATTCCACAGAGGGTAGAAGAACATGACCAAAAATCAGTTTTGCCTTACTTTACAAATTTGTCTTAAGACTATAGATTGCATGTGCTGCATAAAACCTTTAAGTCATAAAAGCTTAATCATGGTATTCTAAATGCTAAAACATTCTATTAACTGAGAATTTTATTTTCCCCTCAAATAGTAACCGTTAACGTCAAAGTGTCATTACATCTTACTATTTTCAGTTCAAACTGAAGCCTATTTTAAAGCCTAATTTAAAGCTACTGCAGAGAAGAACATCAAATTTGCAAATCACAGAGCTGTCTTGTGATTTTTCCTACAGCAGGCCAGGAAACCCAGGCTATCTTTATCTTGATAAGCATAGAAAAAGCATCTCAAGTGAAGGGTCCAAATCCTATCACTAGTATTAAAAACCCTAAGTCGTCGGGGTATTGGTGGTTTACCCTTGTAATCCTACCCAGGAGGCTGAGACCTGAGGATCAAGGTTTAAAGGCAGCCTGGGCAGGAAAGTCTGAGAAATTATCTCCAACTAATCGAGAAAAAGCCAGATATTGTTGTTCTCAGTTGTTATATTACTAGCCTTGAGCACAAAAGTTCAGGGACAGCACACAGGCCCTGAATTTAAGGCCCAGGCCCAGAACAAAGACCAAACCAAAAAAAAAAAAAAGGCTAAATCATTAAATTATTAAGTGAATCAAACATTTGCAGCTTCTAAATTGGTTGGCCCAAATAGAGTTAAATGTACTTTCATGAATTAACTTTCTATTAAAAGTTCTTTGGGCTTTCAATTCAGTTTTTCAAAAACCTTGTTGAGTTGGCTTTTTTCCTAAATAGAATTTTGTTCAAGCAAAAGATAAATTAATCAAGTAAATTACTGTGGTGTCAAATATAAAATGGAAGGGATGAAAAAGAGAGAAAACACAGTTGGGGAAACATAGTTTTGTGGTCACAGAATGGGACATAGCTGAGAGTTCACCAGTATGCCTGTACTGTTAATGTGCAGACTGACAGAACATGGATGGCTGAGTTCACTTAGAACCATGACTGGGAAAACATACTATTGGCACTAAGTATTAGCAAAAATCTGAAATCACAACATTTGAGATTATTTGAATTGCTAGTCTTCAATTGTAGCAGTAATGAAAAACAACAACTCTTTTTCACAAAAGAAACAAGTTCAGATTGGCAGATCTCTCAGTTTATTGTTTCTTATTATATACTCTCTCGAGCAGGGTGCTGGTAGCTTACATTTATAATCCTAGCTACTGAGGAGGCTGAGATCTGAGGATCACAGTTCAAAGCCAGCCTGGAGAGGAAAGTCTGTGAGACTTTTATTTCCAATTAATCACCAGAAAACCAGAAGTGGTGCTGAGGCTCAAGTGGTAGAGTGCTTGCCTTGAGCTGAAGAGCTCAGGGACAGAGTTCAAACCCCACGACCGACCAAAGCAAAGCAAAGCAAAACAAAAACATACACACACACACACTGATGTGTGTGTGTGTGTGTGTGCGCGCGCGCTCGCGCGCGTGTGTGTGTGCGTGCGCGCGCGCGTGTGTGTGTGTGTACTGGGTCTTGAATTCAGGGCCTCCTGCTTCCCACTCGCATTTAGTTTTATTTTTTTGCTCAAGATAGGTGCTCTATCACTTCAGTCACATTTCACATCCAACTTTTTGCTGGTTAATTGGAAATAAGAGTCCTGAGGATTTTTCTGCCTAGGTTGGCTTAGAAGCACAACCTTCAAATCTCACTTCCTGAGTAACTAGGATTACAGGCTTGAGTCACCAGCACCTGACCTCCAAAATATTTTGGTTTTGAGGAAAATATAAATTAGATATTTTTCTTATTATACTTAAATATACTTTTGAGGAAAATATAAATTAGATATTTTTCTTATTATACTTAAATATATTTTTGAATTAATCAGGCACAGAAGTATCAGGCAAAGGGTTTGGGGAAAATTGGACACTGAAATTGTTATATGTAAATGTTTGATCTTTTGATTTCTCTATCACTTTAGTTATCAAATATGAAAAATCATATGAATTTATCATTTCAGTTGTGCCATCTCATTCATTATGTAAACATGTAGCTGAAGATCAAATCCAGGAAGCAGTCAAGAACTCCATACAGGATTTTGCAACATTACCCAGTGGTAATGAAGCTGCCCTTACCCTGGGATGTACCCTAAAAAGGTACTCCTGTGTCTTCCAGACAAGGAGGTATCTCAGTGAAGATCTAGTAGAGAACTAAAATTTGCATCCCTACCAAGAAATAACAAAGGGTTTTCCCCACATTAGAAAGCCAAATGAGAGTCCTGGGTCTCTATCTGGCAGTAATAAGGCCATGGATTCCTCTGCTGCTGGAGAAGTATCAAAATAAAGCCAAATGAAACAATATTTAAATAAGATCCAGACTTTTGTAACAAAATATCTAAAATGTTTGGTGTCCACTGAAAAATTCTCATCATATAAAGAATCAGGAAAAGCCAGGCGCTGGTGGTTCACTCCTGTAATCCTAGCTACTCAGGAGGCTGAGATCTGAGGATCCCGGTTCAAAGCCAACCTGGGCAGGAAACTGCGTGAGACTCTTATCTCCAATAAACCACTAGAAAACTGGAAGTGGTGCTGTGGCTCAAGTGGTAGAGTGCTTGCCTTGAGCTAAAGAGTCCAGGCCCAGAGTTCAAGCTCCATGACCAACCAAAAAAAAAAAAAAAAAAGAATCAGGAAGACCTTATGTTGAATGAAAAGAGAAAAAAAAAGAGATACCAAAGCTAATTTGACAGATACTACAATTATTTTAAAGTAGTCATTACAAAAATTCTTCAGTAAGCATTTATAAGTACTTTAAACAAATGAAAAACAAGTAGAGTCTCAGCAAAGAAATAGAAGACAGAAGAATAAAATAGAAATTTTGAACTTAAACCAGAGGCAAACTAAATGGATAGGCTCAATAGCAAAATGGAGGAAAGGAAATAATCAGTGATTCAGTTACAAATTAAAAAGTGAACAAACAGGATAAACCCAACACAAGGACATATAGGCACTTCTGAAAAACAGAGAAAACACACCTTGAGAGCAGCAAAAAAGAAATGACATCTTCCCATAGGGTAAAAATAATCTGAAGGATAGGAGATTATTCATAAGTAGCCACAGAGGTCAAAAGAAAGCTGTACAGCATTTTTAAGTACTGAAAGAAAAGAATTGTCAACTCACAATTCTATATTTAGTGAAAATACCCTTAAAAAATAAAGGAGGTAATCTAGACATTCTCAGGTAAGGGGAAAAAAAGATTTTTTTGCTACCAGCAGATCAACCTGAACAGAATTGTTAAAGAACATGCTTAAACAGAAAGGAATACTTGCAATACCAATTTGATAATGAATTATACAACTTGTGGATGGAGACGGAAGGGAAAAACAATGAGGGAAGACAGTGAGGGAAGGGAAGACAGTGAGGGAAGGGATGACCTTGTCCAAAATTGTCCAAAACATTGTCCAAAAATAAATGTACTCTTTACCTGACTTATGTAACTGTAACCCCTCTGTACATCACCTTTATATTAACAATAAAAATTAAAAAACCAAAAAGGAAATGCTAAATGTGTTGGCTGCTCATGCTTGTAATCCTAGCTACACAGGAGGCTGAGGTCTGAGTATTGTGGTTTATGAGCCTCTTATCTCCAATTAACCAGTAAAAAGCTGGAAGAGGAGCTGTGGCTCAAGTGGTAGAGCGCTAGCCTTGAGCAAAAAGTTAAGAGATAGTGCCCAGTTCTTGAGTTCAAGCCTCAGTACTGGCATAACTTTAAGGGAGGAAGGAAATTAGAAAGTTGGAAGGAAGGAAGGAAGGAAGGAGGGAGGGAGGGAGGGAAAGA